TTGTTGGCTTGCTCTATCATCCTATGCTGGGCCTTCCTGAGGTTCTCTACAACAGTAGCTAGTTCCTTCTCGTGTTGGATAGCAAACTCCCTAGTACCGGGCGGTTGAGTTCTTCAAACGGTCTGCTCGGCTTAAGGGACTTGTGCAGCTCGTTGGGAGTGCGACACGTAGACAGATGCACACTATTGTTGTAAGCACTGGCTACCTTGGGGAGCATCTCATCCCAGTCAACCTGATCAGATCTAATGTACATTCTTAGAACTTGCTGCAGGATCTTATTCATCTGTTCAGTCTGACCGTTGGTCTCTGGATGACGGCCAGACGACATCAACAACTTAGAGCCATAGACTCGCATCAATTCCTGCCAGTTCTGACTTGTGAACCGGGTGTCTCTATCACTAACTATGGACAATGGGACCCCGTGCTCACTGACCCAGCGATCAAAGAACTTACGGATCACTAATTCCGTTCGTGCCTCTGAAGGCAAGGGTACAAAAACAGCATACTTGCTAAACCTATCGACTATCACCATGACTTGGCTCTTGCCATGCCTACTCTTGACACCTGCGTCCATGAAGTCGATGGACACTGAATCCCCGGGCTGATCAGGAATAGGCAAGGGTCTGAGAAGACCGAGCGGAGCGCGCATGGTGGTCTTATTCCGCTGGCAAACTTTGCAACTGCGGACATACTCTATGCAGTCATTCTTCATCCCTGGCCAGGTGTACGTGTGCATCAGGTTGGCTAGAGTCTTTTGCCAACCAAAATGACCCTTTGTGTCGTGACATTCCCCTAGGATCAGACTACGGATCTCTTCGCTATTGGGAATGCACAGGCGGTCAACTACGTTAGTCTTCTCGAATAATAGTCCGCCTGTAGTGCGGTAGTCTGGCTCAGTCTCTGGGGCCTCCTGTACTCGCTTAAGGAGGTCACTATAGATAGGATCCTCCGCATACGCTTCTTTAACCTTTTTCTGCAGGTCTCTCCCTATATCCAGATAGTGAACTATTGCTCCACAAATGGTCAGCTCTCCTACTCAAAGCGTCCGCAACTACATTATATTTCCCCTTGACTGGCTTGAGCTCAAAATCATGTTGGTCTATTTCTGCGGCCCACCTAGTAAGCTTAGGTGTCATCTTGGCCTGCGTCTTTAACCATCTTAACGTCTCATGGTCAAAATAGACTTTGAAATGCCTGGTTTGCTAGGCCTAAGAACGACCGCAACTCTGTCAATGTACGTGGTGTAGGCCAATCTCTGATCGATGCGATCTTCCTATCCTCGGGCTTGATGTCGTCTCCGTCTAAGACGTGGCCTAGATACAACACTTGGGTCTTCGCCCACTCGCACTTCTTTGCGTTGATCTTGAAGTTAGCTTCTCTCAGCTTCTCCAAGACCTGCATGAGATGACCCTGATGCTCTTCAAGGGTCTTGCTAAACACTAGGATATCATCCAAATAGACTACAACGAACCTATCTAACCACGGCCTAAACAAATCATTCATACATCGCTGGAAAGTTGTTGGCGCGTTGGTTAGTCCAAAGGGCATCACGATGAACTCGTAGTGCCCGTATCTAGTCCGGAAAGTTGTCTTGTACTGATCATCAGGGTGAACCTCTATCTGATGATATCCAGACTTTAAATCTATCTTCGTAAAATATCTACACCCCTGCACCCGATTCAAAAGATCGTCTAAGCTCTCCCTCTTTCTTGGGAACGAACAGAACAGGTGCCCCGAATGGGGACGAACTGGGCCTTATCCAACCCTTCTCTAGGAGCTCGTCAAGTTGCTTGCGCAACTCCTCTAATTCCCGCGGGGACATCCTATACACGGCTCCCTTGGGCGTTCTACTGCCAGGCTCTATCTCGATTCGATGCTGGATGGGCCGCGGGACTACTCCTATCGGCGGCTCAGCTAGATCCTTAAACTCCTTCAGCAGCTTGGCAATAGCAGGGTCTATAGGCTTCTCCTCCTTAGGCTCAGTCGCTGGCCTAACATAGGCTACAAAAACCTGTTCCTCTAGTTGCTCCTTCTTTACTAGTCGTGCGAACGCAGGAGCACTAAGGCAGCAATGCGCCAGGGAGTTGTCTACTCCTGACACATGGAACAGACGGGCAGTCTTAACACCACCTGACGGGCTAGGGAGCCTACACTCGTGCTCTCTCAAATGGAGTGTGGCCCCTGCTGCCTCTCCCCAGTCCATACCTAGGACTATGTCAAACGGGAGGCTATCCTCTACTAGCAGAGTCAGGGAATAGAGGACCTTCTCCACCTTCCCATCCTGTTCTAGGCGGAAATACGCCTGGACTCCCTCTACGTATTCCTCCACTCGCATAGTGCGATTGTCCGCGAGGATACTTACTATGGGGTCTGCTAGTATTTGGACCTTTAACTGCAACTTCAACTTCTGCAGCGCCTTCCTACTAATATAACTACGAGTGGCTCCACTATCCACTAAGTCACCTGCTCGTCCTCTAAAATCTTCGTGTCTACTAATATAAGCTGCCCCTTATTCTCCTTATTCTCTTTTTTCATCTTGGCCCAGGCGGGCATCCTCTCCTTCAATTCCTCAGCCACGCCTGTGAGGGAGGTGTCTAGAGAGACTCTAACACAAGCAGTCTCTAGGCAGCCATCTAGACACCGGCCTGCAACCTCTGCCATAGGCACATGTGGTGTGGGAGTCTCCTGCCGGCTAGCCCTACTTCCCCCACACGGCCTTATGGTAGGGGCAGTTGCTACCCCTACCGGCGACTGCCTTTTGGTCCTTGAGCAGCCGATCGGGTGTCCCTGTACTTCGGACATTATTTAATGATGTCGCCAGGGTCACCGCAATAAATGCACTATCCCTGGGTCACACGTTGTTGCTATATGCGCTGGTCCGGACCCAAATCTTCCCAAGGCCTGCCTTGAGGCAGCCCTGGGTGCCAACCACTTCTCCTGTAAGGGGATCTATTCCCAGACCGGTTTTGCGGGGGACCTTGACCCCTTCCTCCCGCTTGGCGGTTTCCTCCTCTGCCGCCAACCCCCTGATCGCCCTGAGAAGGGTTCCCTGAGGCCCGGCCCCCTTGGCCCTGGCCTCGTCCTCCTCCTTGCGGCCTCCCTCCGGCCGCGACAGCAGAATATGTCTTCCCCTGACTACTGCTACTGTCATCGTCCTCTAACCCCCACTCAATCTGCTCGTAGGGGATCTCATCAACACTACCTTCATTTAGAGCGAGGACAAGACTATCCTTAGTCTTAACTTGCCCTGAGATAGTGCGACCTTTCCATTGCTTTCCTTTGTCTAAGTCTTTGTGCTAGAAGGTGGAAACTGACACAGACTTTGCCTCAAAAGCCACCACTTCACGACTAAGGGAATCATAAGTGGTGGCAGGATCTTCGCTCTTCGCGAAGAAGTGCCCTCGGAAGGCTTCGGGCATAGCCCGATAGAAGAGGCTGACCAACTGGGTCTCCGTGACCCCGTGGTCAGGAACAACCACGAATTCGTCCATGACGCCCTTGAGTGCCCCGGCACTCTTCCATTTACAATGTGGATTGTCTGAAGCTTATCTGAGGCCCTGACACTACGAGCGGCATCAGCAAACCGCCCGCGCAGCAATTTCATGAAATCGACGAGGGGGGTGAATGACGAATAGGCAACTGCATCATTATTGCAGTTAGCAGCGCGGACTAGGGATCTCGCGAAACTGGCAGCCTCATCTCTAAGCGCATGAATTGCAATCAACACATGCTGATCCGGGGAGCCCTGTTGCAAATGCACATAAGTCTTGACGTTGGCCTCCCAATTGTCAAAGTTCTCTTCCCTCTTTCCACTGTAGGAATCGGGGAACTTGACTTTGACTGGCTCCCTGCCAGGACGAGCCTCTTCCTCACCTCGGCCCCTACTGTGCCTACCCGTTCGCGGGAAAAATCCAGGAATCCCATCCGCATCGAGCGCACGGCCATATCCTGACTTCTACTAAACTCATACTGTTCTCCTTGTACCCAGGCTAAGCGCTCAACACTCTGGGCAATGATCTCCACCTTTCGTTGGAGATCCACCTGGGCGGCCATCTGTTCTCTCAAGTTCTTTACTTGCTGTAGTTCCCTGGCCGCCTCACTCGCTGCTTCCAATCTCCTCTTCTTTTCCCTCATTATCCTGAGCATCCACTCCATCTTTTTCTCATCCTCCATCGCTTGTCGCTTCAGGGGATCTTCCTCTGCATCCCATTCTTTCATGGCGGCCTCTTGCTCATCCTTGGGAATATACATAGCAACCTCGTCCTCTTCGCCCAAAGACAAGTTGGCAACCCATTCTGAAATCCTCTTCTCCATTTCATCGCTTTTACTTCCGTTGTACTGCCCTCGTTGCTCTCTCCTCCTTTCCAGCGGCTGTTCCTCTTCCTCCTCCTCCTCTTCCACCTCTTTTAACTTCGCTTCTTCTTCTTTTTTCAACCTCTCCTTCTCTCTGGCCATCTCCTCCTCAATCTTCTTCAATTTCGCCGCCTGCTCCTCCAACAAAGCCTTCTTCTTGGCCTCCTTCTTCTCTCTCCTCTCTTTCAGGATAGCGGCGGCCTTGGCCTCTTCTTCAGGTGTGTAGGGGTGTGTGGTCGTGCCACCCTTGGTCTCTACCCTACACGCAAAGGTGTTTCAGAATCCCAACGGAAACATGAAACACCGAAGGGTCCCCCAGAGGGAGAACCCAACAAGTAACCCATACATGGGGTAGTCATCCATGTGTTCAGGTGCACGACAATGTCCCACTCCTTACCACGTAGACCTAACCACTGACTGACTGACTCTCTAAGGACCACAGGGTAGAACCCTGTCAGCTATGATCACTAGCCTAGACCTACTCTAAGGCTGTCACTACTGAACCAGTGGCTGATCTGGAGGCATTTAAGGAGATCCCCCTAACTCCGCAAGAATTCTTCAACGTCGCAGATAGGACGACGTGATCAGCTTGGTTCTGCCTGTGCTTTCAGCCCACAACTCAGCCTTTTCGGCCTACTGTGCCACACCGAGCAGCCCGCAGGTCTGTACCGGTCCTTGGGAGGGTTCGTATCCCCCAGAATAGTCGAGTCGTCAGACACAGATCCTCAGCCTTACTTGGTACGGTAGGGGAGTGGTTCAAACAGGCCCTCAACACTTAAAGACTGCCTGGTGTGTCAGCCCCAACCCAGTCTTTCAGGCCCACTGTTCCATACCAACCATGTCCAGCCGGTCAGCATCGGTCCTTGGGAGGGTTATGCCCCCCTAGACAGTTGGATCTTTCACAGTCTCAGCCCTACTAGATCCGATAGGGGTTTCATCATCCAGGCCTATCCCTCATGCACATAGTACTACCACTTAGGACAGAAGAGACTCGATGCAGAAAGGAGAGACGACAGACTCAGACTCAGCAAGTACCGTAGGGTGAGTGCACATCCACAGGGTGAGGGGATAGGCTAAGGGCTTGGCGAGATTTTACCAACTCCAGCTTGGTCAAAGTCCTGGTCAACGGCGCCGGTCAACTCCTCGGTCAATGCTTGGTCAACGCGGCAAGACCCCGGTCAACGTCCGGTCAACCCTCCGGTCAACTCTCCACCTCGGCTATGGCTGCC